CCATATCTATATAAGGACTGGGGTATAGTTCAGTGAAGGCACTCTTAGCATGTGTAAGGCCCCAAGATTATCCCAAAATCTCCCAGAAAATATATAAATAATAAATGGTCAGATTCTGCCATCATACATATTCAGCTAATTATGCAAGATTAAATATTTATAAAATACTACATATCTGTATCTGATTGGTCTCTGAATAACTGAAAGAGAATGTAAATTCTCTCATGCAGTGAATAATTTTTAATTATAAGCTTCATGATTTTCACATACGTAAGAGTAAAACTATTAAGAGAAAAAGAAAGCTGAAAGTTTCTCTAGGTTAAGCTCCAGAACACACTTAAATAGTTCACAAGCAGAGTCAACTGTAATTATCACTTTAATGCCTCAATGAAAATTACTTCTAGTAAACAGAAGAAAACTGCCCATATATCTTGGACTGTGAGCACACAAAGCTACACAACCCACAAGGGAGTGAGCTGAGCCAAGATTAAAGAATATGGCTAACGTCCTGAGTACCACCTGGTGGCTGCAGACCAAAGGCTAGTCCTTTTCTGCCTCCACGGGTCAAAACGGACCCACCAGAAGTCTTTTCTTTTTACTTTCTACACTGGCCATCAAATGATTTACAGCTAACGGAGTTGGGAAGTGTTTCCAGATACTCCAACAGAGTGTCCAGGAGAGTAAGACAGACCAAGTGTGAAGAGTGCTGAAGCTGAGCACTGAGGAAATGGGGTTGGGAGGGGGACAGTCATCAGAGTTATCTCCAACCCTCTGAAGGCTTCCAATTTTTAGTTTTAAAGGGATTTCTTTGTAATTAAAGTAAAACATGTAATTCAGATTTATTTCTTAATCCTAGAAATATGACTTAATAATATACAAAGTTCTTCCCCCAAATAAAGTCTTTTACGGAAAACTCTAAAACATAAAGTTCATTCATTTTTTAAAAAGACTTACAAAAATTTCAAAACAAACAAAAGGGACACTGAATGTAACGATTATGTGTCTATAGACAAATGGAGAAAAACTGTCTTGATGCTATTCCACTGAGTAAACGTGGCCTAGAATCACATTTCTACCAGCTTCACCCAGGCAGTCAAAGGAACGCTATCTTTCACACAACGTGAAGTGAAGCACAGAGGATGTGCCCTGCAACTCAGGCCAGAAAAGTGGGTCCAGTGCTGACACAGACACCTAGCAATGGAGCACCTAGTGAAGGAGCTCCTGAGGGGCTGGTAATAACCAATTTCTTCATTTGAGAACTGGTTGCCCCAAAGGCAGGGCAGAGGGGCATCACAATCCTTGACTTGAAATTATACTATAAAGCTACTGTGATAAAGCAGCATAGTAGTGGCAAAAAAAAAAAAAAACAGATCAAAGGTCAATGGAACAGATTAAAAGATGCAGAAACAACTCCAGACATACTCAGCCACTTATCTTTGACAAAGGTGCCAAATATATTCACTAGAAGAAAGACAGCCTCTTTAAAATAAATGGTGCTGAGGTAGTGGCTCCATAGCTCAGGGGTTAGAGCACTGGTCTTGTAAAATAAATGGTGCTGGAAAAACTGGCTCTGTGCACGCCAAAGATTAAAAATGGACCCATATCTTTCACCATGCACTAAACTAAATTCAAAATAGACTGAAGATCTAAATATTAATACAGACGCATTAAATGTGCTGGAAGATAGAATAGGTAAAACTCTCGAAGACACTGGCATAAGCAAAGACCTCAATGAATAAAACCCTGATCATACAGGAAGTATCACAAAGAATCAACAACTGGGATCTCATTTTACTGAAAAGTTTTTCCACAGCAAGGGAAACCAACAACACAGTGAAGCAACAGCCTACAATGTGGGAAAAAATGTTTGCTAGCTGTTCCATAGACAAAGGATCACTATCAAGAATGTATAAAGAACCGAAAAATATCAGACCTCCAAATTTAGAAACCCAATCCAAAAATGGGCATCTGAGATGAATGCATAATTCTCAGATAAAGAAATACAAACAGCAAATAAATATATGAAAAAATGTTCAACATCACTGGTCATTCCAGAGATGCAAATTAAAACAACACTGAGCTTCCATCTCACCCTGGAGAAATCAACCAATAACCAATGATGGTAGTGCTGTGGGAAAAAAGGAATCCTTTGCCACTGTTGGTGGGAGTGCAGACCAGTGCAACCACTGTGGAAATCAGTGTGGAGAGTCCTCATAAAATTGGGATGGGAGGTCCCATTTGACCCAGCTATTCCCCTGCTGGCTGTCTTCCAAGAAAAATTAAAAACATCATACCACAGTGATATATGTGCACCCATGTTTATAGCAGCACAACTGGTAAAAGCAGATCTTGGAAACAACCCAAACGCCCATCAACTGAGAAATGGAAAAAAAAGATGTGGTCTTTTTATACAATGGAGTAGTACTCAGCCATAAAGAAGGATAAACTGGAGACTTTTGTAGGTAAATGGATGTAGCTCGAGACCATACTCATAAGTGAAAGAAACCAGATGCACATGTATAAACATCCTATTGTCTCCCAAGTGTGAGAAGCTGAAAGAGTAAATAAGATCCAAAACGTACAACAGATATTGTAAAATAGGAAGAAATTTCAAAAGGAAAGAGAAACTGAGGGGATGGAGAAAAGAAGGGAAAAGCAAAAACGTAAAAAAAAAAGAAATACATAAGTATATATGTATACACAAAGACAGTTACACTTCTACTTTCTCTTAGTTCATTGAAAAGAAAGATTTGCGCTAATATTGTTGAGACAATTAAATGCTGCTATCTTGTACTCTGAGTAACTAATTTAAAGATAACAATACATAATGTATCACCCACTGTTACCCTATTATCTTGTTTTGAAATTTTATTTATCTCTTTATTCTTTAAAATAAAATTTTAAAAAAGAGAATGGGTTACCCAAGAGTGTTCTGTTTGTGAAATTTCATCTATCTAAATACATATGTGGGGCCAGGGATATAGCTCAGTGATACAGCATCTGCCTGGCAAGCATAAGGTCTTGAGTTCGAGTCTCAGTACCCAGAAAAAGCAAAAATAAAAAGCAATCTAAACACATGTGATTTTCTCTATGTATATTACAGTTCAATAAAAGGTTCTCTAATAAACTCATGCACAATAAACAACATGTACACTTTTAAGAACATTTAAGATTAGGAGTCTAATTAATAGGAAACAAATTCTAAATACAGCGAGACTATAAGAGAGACTTTCAAAAAACTAAATAAAGTAATTAAATAAAAAACCCCAAAGAACCAAACAGTCATATTATAAACACAGCATGAACGTAACAACTCATTCAGTGTGTGAACCTTGAATGGACCTTATACCTTTTCTTAAAACCTATAAAAGATATTTGGGTATAGAATTGGAACATGTGACTATGGTTTATAGTATTAAAGAATTTCTGTTAACTGTGCTCACTTCGGCAGCACATATATTAAAAATTTCTGATAACTTGTGAGAAACAATATATATCGTTATATGCAGGAATTAAGGGGCTGGGGATTTAGCTCAGCAGCACAGTGCCTGCCTGGCAAGTACAACGTCGTGAGTTTGATTCCTGGTACCGGATAAAACCAAAAAAAAACAAAACAAAAAGAGGGGGATTATACCTATATGGAAGAGCATGTATAACATTTACAGATAAAGTGTCATTAAATCCACAAGTTATTTTCAAATGGTTCACGTAAAAAAGGAGAAGGAAAGAAAAAAATCAAATTTGGTATAGTTCTAACAACTGGTAAATTTTGATGAATGTTATCGGGGTGCTTTCTATATTCTTTCAACTTCTCCGTTCAAACACTTTGAAAGTTTCAAAAGTAAAAATGTTGGGGAAAGACACCAATGTGAAAAAAGTTAAAAGGTACAAACTGTTGTAGAATAGCAGAGTCTACAATGGTGTAACAAAGTAGAATACATGAACATTGATGAGATATTAACCTCTTCAAAATAGGAAAATGTAAAATAAGTACTATATTCTAGGTATTAAAAAATAAAATTTTCTCAGGTTTGTAATTACATTGTGTTTTGTAGAAGTATGTCTCCTTTTTGGAGATGCATGCTAAAGAATTTAGATGTAAGGGCTGGGGATTTAGCTCAGTGGCAAAAGCGCCTGCCTGGCAAGCGCAAGGTCGTGAGTTCGGTTCCCAGTACTGGAGAAAAATGAAAAAAAAAAAAAAAAGAATTTAGATGTAAAATATCATGATACATAATTCAGCTAAAATGATTAACAGAAAAAAAGACAAAGTAAAGGAGGAAATTAACAACTGTTGAATCTAGCCAATGGGTTTACAGGTCAGTACAGACCACACTAAGTAGAAGACTCTTGCAGTCTAGAAGTCAGTCCTCTCTCAGGAAACATGCAGCATTAACTCCTCTCTTCACCTTACACATTCTATATTATTTTTAAAAAGCAATTAAAAAAATCAAAACAAATTCCTCTTTATCTATTGATACCTTTCTTCCAACAAAGTTTCCCATTGGGACAGTTACACAATCTTTTGTTTATTCAATATGCCCAGTCTGGGAAACACAGATCCTCAATAAATGCTCATTAAATGGTGCTCTATATAAAAATCTCAACATATTCCTTTCCCACTCACTTCAGGTTGAGATATTTTTGCTTAGTGGTCTGTTTTTCCCATTTGATCAACAATTCCTTTAAGACTGACTCTTTAGTTTGTCCTGTGACAAACCACGGGCACTCACTAATGTCTGCTGAATTAGGTCGGACAACAAAACTTAGAAACATGTTATATTCAGCTCCCTCAACCAAACACTGCACAGAACATATCTTGAATTTGCAGTCCTTATTTCTGGAGGATTTAAAATGCTCAATACATATGTGACTTGTTTTCACAAAATTCAACAATACACACTGAAAGGAACATGAGCCCTACTTAAAAGATAAGCAAATGGTATAAAATGCTTTACAGACAACCTTGTCAAGTAGGAAAAAAAACATTTAACAAACAGTACCTCGGTCTTCCCACATTCATCAGGTGGATCCTGGTGTATGGCCATTTGATACTTGACATATAAAGAAAAGGACTGGCTGAAGGATGACTTGAACTCTGGGTCCTCAAAGGAGACAGGTACTAACCTCACCTTCAGAGCAAGGAAAATACAAGCAAATGCTATTGAAACATTTCTACCTAATGATATGCTTCTGAAGGTGAGGCTAGAGTAAGATCTCCGCAAATCCACTTCCAAAGCTCAGTGCTGAAATATGTTATGAAGAAATCCTATAGGAGCTTACTGGCACACAGCCTGAGTGCTAACTTTATATAATACAAAGAAAAACCTTTACACGAGGGCAAGGAGAATTTTTTTGTTTTGGGGTGTTTTTTGTTTATTTGTTTGCTTCTGATGACTGAATTATACAATTTTTCCTTGATTCATCTAGGTGGTTCTCTAGTCAATTCTCACTTGTTAAGACTTGCTAATGGTCATAGCCCCTACTTTTGTAATCTTTACTTATATTAAGGTTATCTTAAGGTACTTTTCCATTTCAGATTTGTCTTGGGTCATTTGATTTATGAAATTAAGTGCATATAAGGATGTCTATTAAAACATTCCACTGCCTTATTTTTCTAGTCCTTCTCAGTTGTGAGTGGGTAATACATTAATAAAAAATAATTGAGTTGTTATGAAGATGAATAAAACATACTAACCACATCAGACAATATATGTTTACCATATAAATATAAATTTTTTTCTCATAGATATTTTGATTCAGAGCTCTATTATTCACTTTCAGATAAACTCATCCAGAAATAGTGACTTTAAATAAAGATAACTTTACATGTTCCTCTCCACTTTGAAATTACATGTGACTGGCACTTAACACAGTCCTAAGTAAAATCTGCACTTTCAGAATGTCCATTAACTCACAGTCCTATCTCTATGCAGGTATGCTGCAGATTTTATATGAAACTACAATGCACCAAAAATAAACCAAGGTTTCATACAATAATATCAAATGGAGGGGAAAGTTCTGTTTACATAGAAAAATTACAATTGGCCTGCTGACCTGGCTCACAGTTGGTTTATCAGGTGGGTCCTTGTGAATAACCATCTGGTAACGTTTATAGACCTGGTAAGACTCCTGAAATGTGGCTTTGAACTGAGAACTTGGTGGAGATGATCTCACCACCCTCACCTTCAGAAGGAGTTAAAAAATAATGTTCATTAATTCATTCATTTATTCATTCTGCAGAATACACATTAACAGTAACTCCCAATCAAAAACCAGGAAGTTTCAACAAACACTAAAGGTATTTTAACAGTAAAAAACAAGTTAGTTAATAAACAAAAGTAATTTTTGCCACTTACAGACTTCTTAGAAAGGCAAAGGAGGACTTCCTCCAAATTCTAATCCTTGCTTCTGATGACTGCCTATGTTATAAACAGGCAGGCTACTTCCAGCAGTCACAACACAACCATAAATATATACTGTTTAATTTTAGTAGTACACAACTCACCATCAATCAGTCAAAGACTGAAAATCAGACTCTGTTTTTCAGCAACTTTCCTCATCAGTAACTTTAAACTTACAACTTTACTTTGTAAGTAAAAAAGACAATCCTCACAACATGTTCTTATTTCACAGCGTATTTTAAAATGAAGACTCAAGAGTTTGATTTTGTATTTTCAAATCTTATGTATCACTACCTTTGCTAAGTAAATTAACCTCATGTGAATGAGTTCTTTCATAGGTAAAATGAGGATGAGTTAAAAGCAGTGATCGCACAGCATAATGGTTAACATATATTTTAACATTAATCATTTACTAACCAGTTAAAATGTATTAGTGAAACAAAATTGAATGTAATACAATAAAGGCACAATGAAAACTTTCTGTGTGCTATGAACAAATTCTTCTGTAAACCAAGAGTGGATCTTCTACATATCCTGAGTCACATTATATTAAAAAAATAAAAGTTGATGCCTTTTTCCTTAGAACTATTATGTGAGGTGTCGAATCCCTGAACACATTACTATTTGTCATCAAAGCCTTTTCGTAAAATATTTAAGTAGTTGTTAAAAAAGATATGTATGTCTGATAATACATATATTTCCTGAAGTTTTAGAATATATCAAACTTTATTCTTATTTTATGCATAACATTAAGAGGTTTTCTTAGATGATATTCAACTATATAGTCAAAAGCTGACCAGTTACTAATCAGGTATGAAAATATGACAAAATCATTATGGCTAATGTTTTAGAAAAGAATTTTTTTTTTTGAGAGAGAGAGGGAGAGGGTGTTTCCCAAGCTGGCACGGAACTTGCAGTTCTCCTGTCTCAGCCTCCCAAATAGCTGAGATTACAGGTATGCATTACTACACCCAGCTGAGAAGAATTTCACACGTACAAAATTAATATTGAGGAATTTGGGTTGATCTAGAAATGCAATTAAGTTTGGAAAAAAGAGCTCTAAAAATAATCATATTATGCCTAAATTCGCTGGGAGTACTGCATGAGATAGAATTTTAGCATTATAATTTAATGATTTAGTTAATTCCCAAATGCTGGTTTACATATGTAACAAAGTTGCTGCCTTGATCAATATCAGAATTTTATAACAGATAAAATAGCACTTTGCCTAGTATGATATATTCTTTTACTATCTAAATTTTCTTTTACTATATAAATTTCTAAAATGAAATTTTCAAGACTATCTTTCTTGTTTTAACTATGCTCAATCAAGGGATATAAAAAGCCAGAGAACCCTCCTTAATAACAAACATGTTAAAACTGAAACTGTTTTCAGTTTTAATAGCCAGTTCTCTAAAGTATTTTTTTAAAAACACTTAAAAATAGCAGTTAACTTAGTAAATACAAATACCACTACACTAATTTTCTTTTATTTTTTATCTAAATTGCAAACATCAACCAACAAATATAACTTCAAAGGAATTAAACAAGGTACACAACAGAAGACAGAAAAACAACAAAAACCCTCCAAAGTACCTCTAACTTGTGTGATGCATTCTCTGGTAAAGATTCAAATATTAAATCTTCAAGTGATTTGGGCTGGTTCGATTTAGCCTTTGGTGGGAACGAAGATGGTGCCTGACCTTGAGCATGGAAACCCTCAAATTCTCCAGCTGGGTTTTGCTGCATGAGTTTTAACATTTTCCTTTCTTTTCGGATTTCCTTGGCTTTCCGACACGGAGGTTTATTCAAATCAGCCCCTTTGCCTAAAAAGAATTTCCAAACATTAGACCAGTCACATTTGGCCCTACAAATGCTTTTTCAGAAGTCTCAAACGTATTATAAGAAAGGCTAAAGAATCCCAACAGTTAGGTAACTCTTGGGTAGATGTTCCACAAGATCCTGGTACACAGCATCTAAAGTACCTTAGAAGCAGGACTTGCAAAAGAAAGTAAATAGTCACAGAAATATTATGTATACATGCATTAAAAATATTTAGAAAAATACCAGAAAACTGTGACTATGTTAATAGCCATTTTCCTTGGGTTTAAAAACAGGACTTCTGTGGTTTTCTCCTTTCTCAAAAATTTCTATAATAAAAATTACTCTCATAATTTTTAATGAACTATTAATAAGCCACAGAAATAAGCTATTTTTTAAGAATAAAAAACCCAGGGGAGGAGAATGGGAAAAAAAGAAGCAAGATAAACTATGTATAGGTATAAATTCCCTATGATGACTGTTAGTGCTATGTATATCTAAAATGTATCAATAAAAAAACAAAAAAATCCAAAAACACAGTATTCACAAATCATACACAAGTCATCAATAAGAAAGTTTCTAAGATTAGCATAGCAAATTCAGTTTTTATAGAGAAGAAAATTAAGACCCAGGTTGGCTGAGGGATTAGACAGACCAGCTGCTCAAAAGAAGTTCTAAGCCAGTATTACAACTTCATTAAAATATTTTCTAAGTAACAACAAAGTTTATCCATTAAAGACCTTGAATAAACCTAAATAATCCAGGTTACTAAAAGACTAATTCTTTAATTGACCATTAACCCTGATGCCTTATAGAATTAATTGTCTTGGGTCAGGGACTGTGTCTTTTCTCAAAGTTGTTCTTGAAAGGTACAAACTTTAACAGCACACTTTCACAGGAACCACCTGAGGTCATGGACTAGCTCTGTCACTTGGCTGGATGACTGTGGGCAAGTTTCCTTGTCTATGCAAGAAAGATAATATATAGTCTTACCTATGGAGTTCCTGTGAGCAATAAATGAGTTAATGCACGTGTACCTCATAAAACAGTACCCTACCATTCTATACAGTTTACCTCTTACTATGGTCTACATCTGCATCACCACACCTGAGTGCTTCTCTGTGTTAAGTAAAAATAAGATTTTATTTAATCATTTCAGAAATAGTAATAAAAAATTATTCATTTTCTAATAGTTACTGAAAATTGCATTCTTTACCAAAATTTTAAAATTATGATTATATTATAAAACTATGGAGTAAACTTAGAGTGACAAATTTTCAGTATTTTTAGGAAAGATGACATTGCTTTCACGGTATAATTCATTCACTGGACTAAGCAACCCTTAAGATTGTGTTTCTCCAAATGTATATAACCACTGTTTTTACTTACTACAAATCAGAATTTCAGCTCAGATCAACAAACTTCAGCAGGACACAAACAGATCATCGGTGTAAAATCATTTACCATAATAACCCTCAATTCAAGAATTCTAGACTAATCCCTAGTGATCTGACTGGACACCAGTAGACCCGCGTAACTTCTAATTAAGTGCAAAGGAATATACTGATGACACTTTTAAAATAGGAAATGGAAATGCAGGTTCCAAAGAAGTTCCAAAAATGACTATAGTGTAAAATAGTCTCAGATTCTTAGTGAAAGATAACCTAATGGGAAAAAAAAACTACACAAAAGTACTAGGCACAAGAGGACCCATGACCATCATGTCACATGATGACAAGGAAGCTCGCAAAGACTACCAGGACTGCATCAAAAATATACAGAAGTCAACTTAAAGAAGCTGTCATAGAAACAATGAATGCAACAAAACAGTATGCTGAGATCCATGAGTTCACAATGACATAAAGGAAACCTAGCTGATCACTAATAGATGTTACTTTGAAAAATAAAGATTCAAAAATTTATCCTGCCTTTCCTTTGAGTTTTTATGGGAAGGAAGTGATGAGGGGGAAGTTTCTTTATGAAAATGTTCCAACCAAAAAATAAGGAATGAAATACTGGAACTAGAATGTTTAAAGAAAAACAAATTTAGGCATTATTAGCACTAATAAAGAGAGGCACCCAGACATCGCGCATCTCCTGAAAGAACATTCAATTACCCATGAAGTACCCTTAACCATCTTCAAATCCCCCAATCTGATTAATACTCACCCCCTCCAAAAAAGAAAGAAGAAAAAGAGAAAAAAGGGGGAAGGAGGGAGAGAAGGAAGAAGAAAGAAAGAAGGAAGGAAGGAAGGAAGGAAGGAAGGAAGGAAGGGAGGGAGGGAGGGA